GAGTCAGAACGCCGTGCTCAACTTCTCCTGCGAGCTCTAGCCAGTTAAGATCATTCGTTTCTCGATATATTGATAGCCCATCAAATATATCTTCGGAGCTCCTCGCTTCTGATTTTCGATTTCTCTGGGCGGGCACGATTCAATCATAGAAGGTGTTATTGATTGAAGTGTTGTCAAACTAGAAATACCTGTGGTATCTGCAGTGTCAATGTTGATGACTTACTGAACTGTTTATTTTGTGGATTTATTTGCCACTACATGTTCAAAAAGCAACTAAAGTGGTACTTAGGCTAAAAAGCAAATCCATGCAATTCGAGAAAGGATTAACAGTTTCAGTAGGACAACTATTCTTGGTTCACATCCGAGAAAGTTTTTGAACTTTCATATATTTGGAAATATCAGGACTATTTATTTACTTATTTTTCCGTAGTGAGGAAAACTGTCAGTCCATATATGACTATCATTTGCAAATGTTTATGTTTGCTGTGTGATTCATAAAGTTATCGACTCACTCACATGTGTGACATATTTACTTTATTTTTTCATATTACTAACACCTTTAATATTTTATTTGACAAGTCTTTATTTTGTTCCCTATCATTTCTGACTAACGAACTACAGGTCAGAGAACAAAACTCCACCAAAATCATCCACCTGAGCTACAAATTTTCTCCACCATCTCAAAATCTGGTACCTCAGATGCTACTTCAGTAGGCAGTAGTCCAAGCACGAAAGAGTATTTTGATGTCTGTGAGCGTATGTTACGACGTTGAAACTGTACTTCCACTTGTGCAAACCAAATGTGAGGGTTCAATCGACTGAATGGAGGCACATTGTAACGGAAAGAGAACAGTGAAAATCCCTCTGCAGCTTCTTTGTTGAACAGTATTTTCATTTATTTGTTCCTTCTCCCTTTTGTGTATTTCAACCTTTGTTTCGATCTCGTTTAACCATGTCTTTTGTTCTTCAGTCTTCCCCGTTTGAGCCTTTATTATGTGATTTTGATTAAAGACTTATTTTTGTTACCTAATTTGCTATTGCATGTTGCCGGACCATTGACGGTAAGGTTGTGTTTGACTAAGCTCAAGGTCACGGCGTGGTTCAGTTTGTGACTGTTAACCTTCTGACTGTCTGCTTGGGAGAATTACTGCAATCCCTGCAGATAGATATTTGATCCCATCTGATTGGGAATATTTGTATTGATTCTCAGGTATCAAACTCTTTAGTGTTAACTGTCTCATTGTTTAGCGCGCTACTTTGAGTTAGAGAAACTTTTGACTGTATAGCACAGGCTGTACATTTTGAGGTATTTTGTATTTTTGATGTAATTTGTTCTGTTTTCTTAATTAGAACCGTTTATATTGAGCACAGAGTTTGTGTTTTGATATAATATAATACGAGTATCTCAAAGACGCGTTGTGAGCTATACAGAGGAACTTGGTCTGGTCTAATCGAATAAATTTTGGGTTCGTCAGTCCGTTGTTCCAACCGAATATTGGCTGTTCGGTCGTTACACACATTTATCAAGTTTAGAGCGTGGAGCTATGTTGAAATGCTATCCTGGCTCGTGCCTTCGGTTTCGGAAGTGTACATTACAAATATACAAAAAAATAATTACTACCAAGAGGAAAGTAACACCGTAACGTATGTGAGTGAACTCAAAACTAGTTCCAAAAAAAATTTACGGGCTCACCAGATTTGTGGTGATTCCCAACAAAAGGAGCTTATAAACGGTATGTCGATACACTAGTTTGATAATAATACACCCAGTAAATTAATAATAAAAACCATAAGTGTCTGTCTGTTAATAAAACCAAGGTAACAAATACAGTTAGAAAGATAAAGGGTATGTAGTGACTCACGTTTATCACGAGAACACGACTGGTTTAATAAAAACAATTATTATTACAACCAACTGTACCAGTGTTTGTTTTAATGTGCTTTTGTTTGACTGTGCTAATGACAGCTATTTTCTGCTTCCATTCTTTCGCTTACACTTTGATTGTAACTTCGCGCGAATTCGGTTACGTTCTGTAACCAAGCTTGTATCCTGGCACGATCTCGGTATCCTTTCGATGCCACGAGATCGCCAGCAAATAAACATCGACTTGGTCCATTAATTGCCTTCTGGTATTCGGCTTCTCGGGGATTTTATGGAGTCATTTGGAACGAGCTTCTTACGCCTTCTGATTCGCTTGGCACGTGTTTCTTGGTAGCGGTGTTCACAGTTAATCTCAACTCGACACCACGCTACAGGTATATTAAACAAACAAATAACAATTATTATGAATTGAATGTTACTTGAAAGCTGCCTCGCGAGAATAACAACCACAAATAAGTTCACTCGATTAACGAAGATTCCTCTGCAAGTAATTGCACCAACGGCGTATTGAAGAATATTGCGTCCAATAGTATTATAATATAATAATCCGTGCCAGAATTCCAACGTGGTGTCGGAAGGGCTAAAGGGATGTTATAACTCCATTATGGTCTTCAATCAAAAACCGTGGTCAATAAAGCAGAAGAACAGACGGTGTAGATAGCGGTTTTTATTTTCAAACCACGCGGTAGTAAAATCGTATATTGTTCATCGAAACAATTATCATCGTTATCAACATGTAATACGGAAAAACAACAGATATTGAATAAAAATGTGGTTACATATAAACTGTGACAAACTAGAGAGAAAATACGGTTTTTATTTTGTCTTTACAAAAATCATTGAATATACGTCACCATAATTACGAATGATACATTGTACGACAAGAATGAATTCAAAATACGAAGAAATAGAACCTAAAGGTATAAACATTTCACTTCTTTTGCAAAGCAGTGATCAACTAACTGGATACTTGATTTCAATCAAAACTTTTTGGTGCAGTTTTACTAGGCTAATCTAAAGGTTACAGATTGCGCGCTTCCCGATGTCGTGACTGTAAGTATCATTAAATATTACGAATAATAAAAAATATACCTTTCAAAAGAGTTAGTTATATCAAGATGAAATAAGTTTCTATTACACAAGCAACCAGACTTGGATGAGTTTAGAGGAAAAAGTGCATGCAACTGGGCGACTTGGACTATGCAAATGACATATAGGTCATCAGCTATAGCTTTTCTATCCCCGTACACCAACAAATGCAGTTGATGACAGTCATTGTAGCAAAAACACCTGTCTGTAGCATTAGGGCTCAAAACAGGGAAAAGGCAAGATCCTGAAACAAAACACGGAGAACACTGATTCTGTCACACTTGGAGAATTGAGAAAAACAAGGGGTAAAATTCCTACATTTGAAGAGCATATAAAACTCAAAAACAGCCGTCCAATTGCATCAGTCAGAATTTTCATTACCAACGTCAATACAGTTCTACTGTACGGAGCTGAGAATTGGAGAATTACTACATCCATCAGCAGAAGCGTACATGTATTCATAAGCAATTCTCTGTTCAAGATGAGGACAGGTCTATCGACCTATATTAATCGTTGCAGTTTGTAATACCGTGGAGGTCCAATCTCGTTTTGAATATGTCAACAGAAGGTGCTGATATTACGTGTTCCCGTAGAAAATTCTAGTAATTTACTACTCGGTGCGAAAAACGAAACTTCAGACGTTAACGATTTGGTCTCGGTTTTTTGAACTTTCTTCGAATGTCCTCTCAAATGATCAGTCCTAGACGGAAGAAAAAGATAAGACATGTTAATACCAAAGTCATCGTTCAGTATACGATAAGCCGATATTAGATCACCTCGTATTCTACGGTAAGATAGCGGAAATAAGTTAAGGTGTCCCAGTCTGTCTTCACAAGATAAGCCAGATAGACCTTGTACCATCTTAGTACCTAGTCGTTGAACTCTTTCCAGCATCGCTGCTTCATACTTGAAACAAGGACTCGCTGCTCGAATCCCATATCTTAAATGTGGTCGCACGTAAATCGGGTATAATAATTTAAACATTTCGTCATTTAAATACTGAAAAGACCTACGAATAGACCATGATACCCTATAGCCTTTTGCAGCAGCAGCCTTACAGTGACTAGTCGTTTTGAGATCATTGCTTAATATAACTCCTAAGTCTTTATAGTTTCTTGCTTTGGGTAGCACGAATCCACGTAGTGTATAGTCATACGATTCATCAGAGTTATTTAACTGCATCACTACACTCTTATTAGGATTTACTTCTAGTGACCACCTGTCCAACCTACTGTGGAAGAGAGCAAACCAGCTTCCAGCTCAGTCAGCTGCAAAGTAAGATCAGGCATATATACTCATTGGTCCAAGTTGCCACACCTCATTAGCACAACACGATAAACACCAAATTCCATCTGATGGAATTACGGAAAGACGCTGGATGTGGACAAGATATTTATTGAGGAAATTATCAAACTGCATCACGAGGCAAGCGTTAGTTTGGCATCCTGAAGGGAAAAGAAAAATCAGAAGACCAAAAAAGGCACTGCACTGAAAACCGGTAGCAGACAACAAAAGAATGAATAGCAACTGGAACCACTTGGAAATAATTGCTTCATCTAGGTCCCAAGCTTCTAAATTTAAAATATCTTTATTTTATCAATCTATTTATTTATAATTATGATTTTATTTAAACACAAATATTAGTACAAGGGGGTATATATATATATATATATATATATATATATATATATATATATACGCCACACAATGACAATGGGAATGGGATGAGAAGAAGAATGTAAGGTGCATATAAAAGAGAAGAATGTATTTTAAAAACTCCACAATTTTCTTTCTGGTTTGGACTTATCAAACTATGTTTGGAATATATATATATTTAAAATACATATATTAGCCTAGTGCTAGCTAGTACGATCTTAAGGGCTTTAATGGTAGTGCTGATAAAAACTCAACTTTATGTGTTCTGTAATCAATTAAGTTCCATTTTAATTATTTTGATACGCAACATAGTATAGTCACTTTCAAAATGTACCTTACCGTTACAGGTAAACTCAGAAGTGAATATCGTGGAATGGGGGATCTTAACCTTCTAAAACCATATGCCGTTTTTGAACAACTATTTGAGCAGAAGATTAGAATAGAAGACAGGGATTGTCTCGAGTTTGCTGATATAAACGTCGCTGCTGGTGTCTTAACCTCCTGTCATGGTTCAGCTCTTGTCAAAGTCGGAAAAACTCAGGTGATTGCAGGTGTAAAGGTACATTGTGGGTTTTTGATCTCAACAATTATAGGTCAAGGTAATTCCAGAAAGCGGAAACTCAGGCAACATAACCTGCAATGTCGAGTTTGCTGGTCTCTGTCATAGAGGTTCACGTTTAAATGCTCCACAACCTAAGTATGCTCAGTGGCTATCTTCTACAATTCAAAGACTCCTGAATAATTTTGCATTCCCATCTATTGAAAACCAGCTAAACATATTCTCAATAAATGACCCAGACACACTTACACCGGTAGCTTCCTACACTTTGAAGCTCGATGTCTTCATCCTTCATGACGATGGGTGCTTACTAGATGCTTGTGTCCCCGCTGCACTTGTTAGTCTTTGTACAACAAAGTGGACAAAGTTATATGCGGTTACGGATGAACAAGCTGCGGGATCCTATTTAGAATTATATAAACCAGGACCACGAAATGAGACAAAATCCCTAAAAATGAATGAATGGCCTGTTTCACTGTCTTTCTGCTTCGTTCCTCGCCCGGTTGCTGATAGAAAGTCAAAGACAGTCCCTATTATTGCCCAACCAACGAAACGAGAGTTAGATATTTGGGATACCGATGCTGGTCCAGTACACATAACTGTTTCTCAGGGTGCTGTCGTCGATCTTTCTGTGGTCAGTGCATTTTTAACGGGTCTTTGGGACAGTTTATTTGTAACGAGTGCAAATGAAAGTAATGTAGTCAACTCATGGGAAGTTTTGTTTGATTCTGCCGTTTCTCACGCTCAGAAAGTTCTACAGATAATCCAAAAGGCAGTAAACTAGTTTGTATAGTTCACGACAATTGTAAGAAAAGTGTTTTCATTTTTGATTCTTTGTAAAACTATTGTTTAATTGATTAATTGAATTTCTACGTAGATTTTAGATTTGATGGTATATTCTTCATAAATCATAATTATTTACACTACAACGTTTCACAGTGCAAACATGAGACTTTAAAATTCAATAATTTTTAAAAGACTTAAGAAAGTTCTCTTGGTCAGTGAGACCGTTTACCTGGTTGTAGATATCCAGGACGAAATAAAATTCTCACAATATCAGATATTTGTCTCTCGTATACTCAAAAGGGGTATATATTGTTGACATCAAATATAAGTTATTCCAGCCGGGATTAGCTTTTTTATTTTCAATTTATCTCAACTTTTATGATACCGACATTGTCAACGCTTTAATTTTGTTTAAGTATCAAACGTCAAGAATGTAGTTGTATATGAACACAATTCTTGTCTTCAAATTGTTCACAATTCATATTAAGTGTATCAATGTCAAGGTAGAGAAAATTTTATCTGTGTAATGCTTTTTTGACTTTTGATTGTCGTGTAAATATTTAGATTTTCACCATTAATTTGCTTTGTTAATTAATGTAGCTGCACCAAACACGATTTAGACGATCAGAGGATTTAAAAAACCCTGACTGATTAAGCATAGTTTGTGGCTTTGTGGATAAACACTGAAGGTAATCAAGAACTAATACGTGAAAGAATTTCAATAATTTCTATCTGCGACTGTAGTAACTGAATTAATAGTGAGTTCTACCTATCCGTAGTAACTGGTATTTTAAAAACCGATATCCCATTCCCGTTGTCACTGTTATAGAGGAAGTTTTTGATGATCTAATGAAACGAAATTTTTGACTGTTAATATTAATAAATAGAATGCTAATCGGGAAATAAACACAGTGATATGATATAGTTAAGTAATGGCTACTCACAAGACCGTATTATTGACTTAGACCCTTGAATGCTCATAAATCAATGATAAGACCACTAGCCAGACTAGTGCTTTTTTCATGTGTTGAAACGACATGCTTATATACGTATTAATAATTGAATATCACAAGTGGTTGTTCACTCATTACTGACTGTTAAGCCTAATTTTTGCGTATCGTGTCACATATGTGGTTGTCATGCCAGTCATATTGAACTTCAGTCATTAAGTAAGATATTCTTTGACATTAATTTCGTTTATCTTAACTAATAACAGTTTTACTACTGTTAGCAGCTACTATAATGATGGTCTGTTGAACATGTTTGTTTGTCGTCTTTCTGTTCGTTATGTTACTTAAAGAGTAATTGGAAAAGGGGATTTAATGGTGATTAACTCACAATATAGAAAACACTTACTCCATCGGTTGCTATAGATTAGTAAATTTTCACCATGGTTTGGGATGTTGCAAAAGCGGCAGGAATTGTTGTATGCTAACATCAAGGGAATAAAATTGACTAACATCATCTCTAATTACTTGCGATCCGTAATGTTAGGACGTTTATCTAAAGCTTATTTTAAACCTTGTGGAACCGACCAGCTTCTAAAAAGCTGTGAGGTATTTATTAGTATAATCTCTAAGTTTATGCATAACTCATTTCAACACCAAATTGTCTCTAGACGTAGATGAGATTTTACTCTCTGTTCAGATATCATAAGGCAATCTTTTACTAACAGTCATCCTATTATTTATTTACTATTGCTTTATAATAAAAAGTCAGTCAGTAACAACGTAGAACTTCGTACGTACGTACATCAGTTCGAGTTGCCACACCACCTTAACACAGAGATGCAGTTGTCGATTCAAATCCCGTAGTGGTAGAGGTAACAAGAGTATAAGCAGTAATCGGGAAGATTAGGGTTTGGAGATGTTATTTGAAGAGTATAATCCAGTGAAATAAATTTGGAAAGAGGAAAAAAGGGACATGAAGAATTCAGAAGATTAGAATTTGGGAGAACACAAAGAGTGGATGCACCTGCGCCATTGCAAACGATTTTGAGCCATGTCATTCAGGGTCTCTAACCATCGGTTGCTATCATCTCGTGGTCCCCAACCAGGTAGTCTACACCTACCAACATGACTCAGTCCACTTGTCAGTGACTTCATGGACTTGTGCCATGTTTTGGTTTGGCCGCCTCTAGCTTTCTTCCAACCTACTCCTATACCACTGAACATAGCACGTCGAGGTAGTCGGTCGTTGGGCATACGTAACACGTGTCCCAGCCATCTCAACTGATGAAGTTTCACTACTTCATTAATTGATTTGCCATCCTTACCTAGTACCCGTTTCCTAACAACTACATTACTTACTCGATGGTCCCATGATATACGAGCAATGTTTCGAAGACATCTATGATCGAATACTAGTAACCTACGAATATACTCTACTCTTACCGGCCATGTTTCACTGCCATAAAGTAGGACGGGACGAACTGCTGCACAGTAACCACGTCCTTTAGTTGATAGAGGGATATCTCGCCTACGCCATAAATGACGCAAGTTGGCAAAAGCTAGTCGAGCCTTCTGTATCCGTGCTGAGATTTCGTAACACACCACACCACAAGGGCTGATGAGACTTCCAAGATAAGTGAAGCGGTCGACACACTCAACTACTTCACTCCCTATCACTAGTTCGGGTGTCGATGTAACCCAATCCTAAAGCAACATTTTGCATTTCGAGGGGGAGAATCGCATGCCGAACATGCTTGGGTTGTTACTTAGAGTGGTCAGAAGACTGCATTTTGTCAGCGTCTTCACCAAATAGAACTATGTCATCGGCATATTCTAAGTCAACAAGTGAACCTCCCGGTAGGAGTTCAACCCCTGGAAATTTAGATGAGGAAAGTGTCATCTCTAAAAGCACGTCAACGATAAAGTTAAACAAGAATGGAGAGAGTGGACAGCCCTGACGAATACAACTTGAGGTAATCAATTTCGATGACAGTTCGCCATAAGCTCTCACTCTACCAGTTGTGTTCGAGTAGAGAGCCTTTATAAGGTTAATGTACTTCTTTGGTACTCCTTTCAGTGACAAACACTGCCATAGAACCTCACGTTCAACAGAATCGAATGCCGCCTTAAGGTCGAGAAATACTACGATTGTGGGGCGTCTGAATGTGTGTCTGTGTCCTAGAACCTGACGTAGTGTGAAAATCTGATCTATACAACCACGTCCAGGTCGAAAACCGGCCTGGTTTTCTCTAATCTGCTCTTCACGAGTTTTGATTAGGCGTCGAAGTATTATTGAGGCTAATATTTTAGACACTATATTAGTCAAACTGATTCCTCTGTGATTGTCACAAGAGGACTTTTGTCCTTTCTTATAGACTGGCACAATCAGTGATTGAGACCAGTCAGATGGGATTTCGTCCAGTTCCCAAATTCTACCTAAGACCTCGGTTAATCTCATTGCTAATACTGGACCACCATCCTTAAAAATCTCAGGAGTAAACCTGTCAGGGCCTGCTGCTCCCCCTCGTTTCAGATTTCCTATGGCTTTTTCAACTTCGTAAAGGGACGGAGGACTTACATTAACTTGTCATTCAGGTTGACTAGAGATCATGGGAAACCGAAGTGTGGCTGAAGGCCAGTTGAACTGGTCTCTAAAGTGTTCTGTCCATCGATCCAATCTCCTGGATTGAGAATGTATAATATGTCCATCTTTCTCTGAGAGTGTTTCGCCAGTAGTCGGTTTCCTAATTCCGGTTTCCTTAACGAGTCTGAACAATTGTCTGCTATTACCTATTGCCACTGCCTTTTCCATCTCTCTTGCTTTCGCTACCCACCACTGTTCGCGATCATTGCGTAGACTTCTTGTCAGCTTGCGCTTAAACTGACTCTGCTTTTCATTATGTCCAGAGCCAGGTGGAATGAGTTTCCGAGCATCTATCAGTGCGATAGATGCTGCTGAGATCCAGTGTTGCTCCCTAACCTTCTGGTTTACCTTACTAGCAGATATCACTGTTGTTTCCACAGCTTTTCGGATATCATTCCATGCTGCCTCGGGGTGGGCATCACCTATATGGCTGCCTAACTGTTTTCCTAGTTGTTCCTGAAATATACTCTTAGCTTGACTATCATTAAGTAGGCCCTAAGAGGTTTCCTTGCAGCGTCTTTCCTACGTCCAGTAAGACGCAGACAGATACGCGCTCGTACTAGAGCATGGTCTGAATCTAAGCATGTGCTCCAGAATGAGCGACAGTCTTCTATCGAGCCCCTCCATCGGTGGCTGATAGCGATGTGATCTATTTGGGTCCAACGTTGGGACGAATTAGGGGGTCGCCATGTTAAAAGATGTTTTTCCTTATGCTTAAAGTTAGTATTTGCAAGGAACAGGCGGTTATCTGAACATAGCTGCAACAGACGGTCGCCATTATCTGTTCTTTGAGACACGACACTATAAGATCCACCTAGGTGTCTTTCTCTTTCGCTTAGTTTACCTACTTGAGCATTAAAGTCACCGGCCACTACATCCGAGTGCCTAGCTTTTCGGAGAAGGTCGGAGAGCTTTCTGTAAAACTCATCTTTTACATCATCTGCGCTGCAGTCAGTGGGAGAATAGGCAGAGACGACGAAGAGGCAACGACGAGTGTCCCTACCTTTTCGGGTCCTTATTGTTCTGTTTAGTCGGAAAGCGCACAAACGACTGTCTACTGGGATCCACTCTAAGAGAGCTAGTTCTGCCCTAGGACTCAATGCTATACGTACACCGGCGAGGCCACGGGAAGCAGAATCAGGGTTTACAGATACACGAAGTGTGAATCGAGTCGGTTCTTTATTTTGGTATGGTGAGGTCAAGTGAATTACGCTACTCGAACCCTGTATGCTCGTTTCGGAGACGCAGCACACATCGATGGCGCGGGATTCTAAAGTCCTAGCTAAGAAAGCCTGTTGTCTTATTTGGCACAGTGTTTGGACGTTTAAAGCTCCTACGTGTAGTTTAGCGCGTACTCGAATCGTTTGCCCTAGCGGTGCGAGGTGAAAAAAGGACGCGAGAAGGGTTAGTCGGGGAGATAAGAGTGGTATAAGGAGGTGTAGGAAGGATTTGAATGTGACCAACTTGGTCTCGTGTGCTGTTACGGTTATGAGGGCTGATGTCACTTCCCGGCTGCCCACACCGTGGAAGGGTATTTCTTGAGGAACCTGAAAAGGAAATTGGATTAGTGTTGGTCATGACGACCTGGGAGCGTGACCGCAGAGCCCAAGGGACAACTGCTTGGGGCCGGTCGTGCACGGCCTTTTCGTGGGAGGTTTTTGACGTGTTAGCTCCGTTCTTCAAAGGGCCTTACCGCCGGAGACGGAAATCCGTGAGGTAGGGTGAGGTGTGCAGTTTTAGGGTCGACCTTTTCTAACCCCACCTCTCCTTGTGGGAAGACAGCATCGCTGTCATGCTGGTTGTCCGAGGGAAACATCTTACTGCTGTCACACCTCTGTACAGTCAGCAGTACGACTTCGCCCTGAGACCTTGAGTTGCTGCTTTTAGTCTTACCGTTCACCAATCGACCTGCCTGACATGGTAGAACCTACAGGAACATATGTTCCAGCCAATATAGCTCGGTTGGGTCATCACGATAGGCAAGCCCGACCACCGCGTCAAGGTAGCAGCTTCGGTCGGTTTTATAAAACATCAGACAATGCGGCGCCGCGAAACAAAACGGTAGTGTTTCGAAAAGTTAGAAGTAACAAAGAATAAGTATTATAAACCAAGATAAGAGGAAAATAATAAAAGGTACAATAGGATCAACAATGGGTTCCATTCTGTTGAAATATTGGGTCACTGACTTGCACGATGTTTAAGTGGCATGCTTTATATCAAGACAAAGAGAAAGGAAATTGACAAAATGAGGTATAGAACAAAGTATGACACCCAATATCGCAAATAGCTAAGCCTAATAAGTCCATTTAAAACGAAGCACAAAATCAATGGATTAAATTGGAAAACAAAAGGTGTGTAGTGAAAAGAGAACAACTATATGTAGCCCATTACAACTGATTTTGAGTCATTTCACCCAACATCCATGTATGATGCGTGTTTTAACCTACATGTCTTTTTCTTTTTCAAAATAAGATCATATGAATATTTATCTCGTGCAAATACATCTATAAGAAGATTTTGTTTTGTGCAGTGATGTTTTATTTCATACAGATTGATAGTTATCTGATTTTATTTATATGAAAATTCTTCATCGAAACAAGTAATGTTCTCAAAACGGCCCTGTGTTCACTGTAACTAGTTCGGGAATTTTCAACTGTTTTGATGATGGCATTGTTCAGTGAATGTCAGTCAAATGTGTTTCATTGTGCGTAACACTATCTTTTCTAAAAAATTTCAGCCTTACTACTTTTTTTGTATGGTATACAATAAATTTGTTAATCTCACTTTAAGAAAATAAAACTTATTGAATATTAAAATGGAAATCGTTTTGCTTAGCAAGATAATATCATAATATAATGTATCTTCTGTTATATAGTATCGATGTTACTTTGTTCTGTTGGTGAATTTTCCACCAAAATTTATTAGGTTTCATTCACCATATTCCTATTGAGAAATCCAACTAACACAGTAAGAGTGTTAGCATAATGTAACAGATTTATCTGCAACCAAACCAAAAAGTATCTTACTAATGTAAACCAAATCGGGATTGCAACTTGGCGGTTTTATGATATTGGATTAGTGCATAAATTCTGGCGAATGTACTGAGATTTCTTATCGCAATCGTTAGAGACTTTCCTGAAGGTTGTATATAACAATTTTAATCCGATGTTGTCAACGAAAGCTGTACTATCTTACATATATTTCCCAGCAGTAACTAACTTTGTAACATTGTTTACAGCTGACAATCAAAAGACTTATATTTCAATAGTCGGATGTAAACAACTTATGGTTGATTCATTAGTACTTCTCTCATCTGTAATAGATCCTAAGCTTGTTATGAATATCTATCAAATCATATCAAAAAGCACGTAAAGGCTTGTACTAGGCCCTGGTACGGGTGAGGGTGTGACGAATCCGTTCTCGAAATGCTCTCACTTGGCCATGTGTATATATTTACTGCCATGAAAGTCCTACTCGCTGCCTTCTTGGGGTGAGTGTTGTTTATGAAATTCAGACGACGAAAAGCTAATGTTTGGCTCTTTAACGGGGTTGGTAGGTATGGAGGATCCACCTAGAGGAGTCGGAAAACTGTGATCCCAAACAAATATTGCACATGGGCTCCAGGATCCTAAGGAAACAAATGGCGTGTATGATCCTATCGTTGGTCACTGGCTACTATGGGATTGTGTCTCCTTACGTTGAACCACTGCCTTGTTCATCAGACCTCTAGGTCGAAGGCTCCGGATGTGGCTCTCTAAGAGAACCACCTGCTTCGTTTTATTCACCTGGGCAGTATCACAGCCCTCACACAAATCAGTGTTAACTACCACTGGTCTCATTGTTATTTTGTGGCGCATATGTACTTGGTGCTCCCCTGTACCAATGCTTGTGTGTACGAATAAATAAATTATAGTATATATGAGAGTCTAAAACAAGAAAATTCTTGGGTCTTACTACATATGCTGTAATCAGAGCACTATGAAATGAGTGTTTCACGCACTATATCATCTTTACCAAGTACGAGTCAAGGATTTCCAGTTATAAACACAAGGAAGAGAAAAAACAATGAAGAAGTACTCAAGTATTTCGTTTCCTGCTTTTAACAGAACCAAACGTGCTCATTTATAGTCACTGATCATTATCTTTGTAGTGTGTTTTGATGGTTTTTGTACCAAAAGTATTCTAACTCCCAGTGTAATAACTCAAACACATAGGAGCTTATGTTGAGCTATCATCATAATCGTTAACTTCGAGTGCTATTCTGTTTGATGAAAACACTTAGATACGTGATTCCCTTAAGTTTTTATTTAGTTGCGAAGTTTTGTTTTAGAAGTGGTCTGCATGTAGAAGGCTAGCTAAAATGTGTTAGCAGTTCACGAATTCGTTGACCATTGGTCCAAGGCATATCAGTTATTTCAAACTAGCCTGTGTTAGGATCTGCATAATAATAGTTGTCAGTGATTGAGACGTCGAGTAACTTGGTTGAGGATCGGTCACAATATTACAGATTTTGAATCCCAATATCTTTTCGAACATACCTTCCCACTCTGCTTTAAACCATATTCCTCAAGTGTAGTCTCCTTTTTGTCGTTATTGCTAGGTTGTTTCAGTCTCTTGTTATTTTCATATTGTCGCGCTAACCTAATTTGGCAGACTGAACAAAAATACATCTTCCTCTAGATCTTGAGTTCCAGCATTCCTTTATACGTAACTTTCCACTCCTGGAATTATATTCTCGTTGTTTGTTCTTTTTCATTTTGATTGTTATTATAATTATTTCAACATCCTTGGTACTCGTACGGTTAATTTCGCCTCGTTGTGATGATATGGTGTGGAGATCCGAGCTTCGGACGACAAAGCTTAAAATTTTCAGAATTGGGACAGATCCATCCATTATTTGTCTTCATTCTACGAATGTATATTTCCTCGAATAAAATTTATCCCTAATCTTTTCGACGATTACTACTTATGCTGTGTCGTTTTGTTGTGATGAAATATATGATAACTTGGACCGATGAACATATGTCCTAGTCATTACCTTGCGTATGACATTGAATACTTTTACCTGGCTGTTTGTTGATTATAACTGATATGGATCAAGTCATTGGTAACAATATAGGCAGTCTTGATCCCTGTCTTCTGAACAAATTTGTTGGCATAACTCGTGCTGCTTTATTTTAGTTAGTAGTATGAGTGAAATAGAACATTGTGGTATATTTGATTCATTGTTCACGACAAACATAATGTAAAGATTTTTTGGTCAAGTTGAATCAGATTTTAAGGTTCGTCTGCAAACCGAATTATCCATTTTCTTAATCCTGTTGCCTCTCTTAGGACATAAGGGGTCAGAAACAAATCTTCAACTTGTCTTAGGCTCTCCTTTTCAGTTTTCGACAAGTTTTATTCGTCGACTTGGTATATCCCTCCAGTTTCCGACGTCATGTGTTCCCTGGTCTTCCTCCTTTACCTTGGGGGTTCCATGTTGGGGTTTGACTTGTGATGCGGTTTAGTGGTGTCTGTTAGGTTTGTTTTATTCAACTCTAGTGATTATACTTGATTTTATCCTCATTCGGAACCTTGTTTATTCTGTCAAAGTCAATTATACGGACTAAGTATGATGATGTAAATCTCCGTTTTGTCGAATAAGATCCAACAAGATTTTCTGATCCATGCTAAAAATCAGATCTACCTCCGCAAATTCGTACGTGGTTCATGTTTAATTTTTTTAAACCAGTGTCTCATGTTGATATCACCAGTTAAATAACAGTTAAAACTCCTTTAGTTTACATCCACTTATCTCATCTTTTTTCAAGTATTATAACTACTGAATGCAGGTGTTTCTATGGAGATATCCAAAGGTAAACCCATTAGCCTATCCAACCTTCACAGCCCAGATATACCAAGCTTCATAGACACTTAATGGAATTACTAGATTCTCGTTGTTATACGCTCCATCATTTTACAATCAGACTAGCCCCCTCAAGACACTGAAGATGGTTCATACTAGATGAATTTACTTTTGCTTTCACTGTACAGTGATCGCTTTTGTTAGTCATAGTAATCAATTATTTCTATCTATCGGTTTTCTAATATTGTTAAAATTGTTGCTTTCAATCCTCTGCATTTCTCATTAATTTTCCCTTAGCGTAATGTGTCTGATGTTTGATAATATATATCAGATTGAGACATTCTAGATAAAGTAGATGTATATAAGTCTTTCACACTTAGTAATAACTTCCAAAATTACATTTAGTAACTTGTAGTGGAAGAATGGTTACAGTTATCAAAATCCATTATGATATGAAGATTTTATGTGTTGTTGAATCCTTTTGAAATAGTGCCTTATGTATGCTTTATTCGAAATTTTTGAAATGATTTCAAGTTCAAAGTTGTTATAAAGGATTTTTTGCCGTATTATAAACGTATTCCCTGAAGTTCGACATTTATGTCATTCCAGCTTTTTAAGAGATATATACAATTTCATCCATAAAGTCTTATGATGTATACACATTGAAGTCGATAGATTCGAACCTAGAAGCTTCAGTATTACGGGCTAGAACATTGGTAATGATTTAATCTTGCAACTATTAATCTGGAAATATTACTATTTACTTATAAAAATGAAAGATAATCGCGAATTATGACAATGTAGTATCACTCGAATAAACTTATGTTGGGTCCTATCTTAACCATTTATCAGTGAGCACTGGCTAACATATATGGTATGAAATCATGGATATATAATTTTCATATTATATATGTTATATAAAATCAAATAATTTAATCGACATTCACTTGTTTTCATTATTTCATATTTCCTTCAACCACCTATGACCTAACCACTGCTATGAGTCCGGTGTTCATCTTGTTGTGCTGATGCGGCATGGCAACCTGGACCGATGCACATATGTGCCTGGTCCTATGTTGTAGCTGACTGATTCACTCAAAGATTAGGATTTTACTTTGATACTTCATGTTAAACAATTCAAATATTTCCTACTGATTTTGCATATATCCTTACTTAAGTCTTGGTTAAACGAAAAACAATCCAAAAAAGTAGTAGTAAGATGAGGTAAGAAAGCTTTTTAATCATTCGATTCTCTTAGGTGAACAATGATTCAATCAATTTATTAATAATATTACATTATACAACAACAACAAAAAAAAATACAAACTTGGATAATCATTTACATGACAAAATTAATGAATAATCTGGCATTCATTTACATTTCATGAATGTTGATGATGAATACAAATTAGATAAATTATTATTTACTTTTTGTCAATAAAGTTAATGTTTTTGTCTTGTTTAGTAAGTAATGTATGTACGTATGATTATTCAATTTAACCCATCATATCACGTTGACGTTTAAGTTGACTAACTAAATAATACAATAGAAATAAATAGAACATTACAGTAACCATTATAGTTAATGAAGAGAATTATTAGGAAAATAAAAACAAACAAAACAATATTTCAAATGAAATATGATAAATGTTCATTTCTATATTGTCTTAAATTTTTTTTATAGATTGTTATGTAAACATTACAAATACAAAGAAGTTACTACTATTTTATTTTATTTTTAACACATAGATATTCGTACAATGAGGCGCCAAATACATGTGCGCCACACAAATCTCATTCGATATGTGTGAGGGCTGTGATACTGCCCGAGTGCCCAAACCGAACCAGGTGGTTTTCTTAGGGAGTCACACTCGGAGCCTTCGACCTAGGGGTCTGGTCTACAAGGCAGTGGGTCAACGTAAGAAGATACAGTCCCATAGTAGCCGGTGACCAACACTAGGTTCATACGCCATTTGTTTCCTTAGGATCCTGGAGCCCATG